GTGTTAATGGACAGGTATGGAGTTTGGTAACCTGGCGTTTTATTAAGGGTATAGATCTTCAGAATAATTTTGTCAAAAATAAACTATCCAATAATTCATATTCTGCTTAATAGTTAAGACCAGGACTTTAAATGTAGATAAGTGTAATTAATTAATGGTATTTCCTTTTTCTTTTTAGGTTCGGTACAGCATTGTGCAGCAACCAAATCAAAAGGGAACAAAATTCACTGTTGACACAGAAACAGGTGAAGTAACCACCAACAAAGTGTTCGATCGTGAAGGCGAAGACGGAAAGTTTGTGTCTGTTACAGTAAAAGCAACAGATAATGGAGACCCATCATTAGAGGGTGTTTGCTCATTCACTGTAGAAATTACAGATATTAATGACAACCCTCCATTATTTGATCGTCAGGTAAGTTTCTGTTGTTTAAAGAACAGAAGAGAAAACAGAACTGAAAGCCCCAATGTTTGCATGATTACTAACTGAAAAAAATTAATTATTGATTAAGTCAATGATCTCCCTTCCAGAAATATGTTGAAAATGTCAAGCAGGACACAAATGTGGGAACAAATATCCTTCGTGTTTCGGCTTCTGATGAGGATGCTGACAACAATGGTGCCATCATATACAACCTAACAATGGCTACAAACCCTGATGACCTGTCTTACTTTGAGATCCAGCCAGAATCAGGGTGGATTGTTCTCAAGAAACCGCTGGACGTGAGTATGATTCCAACGGAAGCACTAGAGTAGCAGACGGCTGATTCCAATCTTAGTAAATGTGTCAGTTAAAAGATTAACTAAAGATGAGTTGTAGTGAATGATGAAAATTTTAAGCAACAGCAGCAGAAGTGAACCAGAATGGAAGGTAAATCTGGAAAATGAATCTAAGGATTGAATGCTTTTTAATGATTCTCAGTAATACAAACATACATGCATACTTTCAAACATATTAAGCACATAATTTAATCATGACAACCTCATTAAATGAATGCATATTCTAATACAAGTGCACACTGCAAAGCAAACATATAGATAAATAAGCAAACACTTTAGCAGATGCAAATATACAAGTCAATAAATACAAACATGAAAATGCACAAACATTAACACTGATGTTTACATGTGTGAGTTGGCATTTTTCATTTAGTGAAAACTTTGAAGAACGTAGGTGTAATATGAAACCTGAATTATTAACTGTGCATGTTTATATTCAATAAATATATATTCAGAGTTTATTATACATTTTTTTTTCTAGCAGATTTTACTGCTTAACTAAAAGAATTAATTTTGATAACTAGTGTGAAGTGTGTGAGCTGTGAGAAAGCTGTAGCTTTTTTTTTTCTTACTTTTAAAATTCAGAAGGAAAACTATACTTCTTTTTTCTTTTGGTTATGTAGTTTTGAACAGATAACTTGTTTTATATTTTTCCTTGGATAATGAAGATTTGCCTCAAAGGTTATTAATCATTTGATAAAGTCAGTACAAACAGCTTGATGATTTAATCTTAAAATATTCTGATACTGACATTGCCTACATGACATGGTGTCTCCTAATTAATACTTATTGTTTTCTACCATTTTAATTCAAGTCATGTCTGCCTATTGTAAGTAAATGTTTGCCAGTAAGTATCAAAAAAGAAGATTGTTTATCCAATGTAGAGCTTTTATTTTTATCCCAACATATGCAGCAATCCCCACTTACAGTAACAAACTGCTACAAAACATTTTATGACAAGATATGAATATTTAACCATTCTTTTAATACAGATCAGAGACCTTTACTGCATAGCTCCTACAGGCTATTAAACTTGGGTTAAGATAATGCAATAAGCTATATTAGGTCCCTAGACTTTGCTGATATTGGATAGTGTAACTGGGTACTTGTTATCATGTCAGTATGTCTCCCTTTTGTGGTACTTGTATGAGCTTATTCCCTGAGAAATATGCTGTTTGTCAAAAGATTTGTGTTCATGTCCCCTCCCCCTTTGTGCTTTATCCCCTGTGTACTCATGTTTTACTCCATAATTTTTACTCTTGAGTTTTTAATCTAATTTAATGTCCAAAATTTGATATTTTGAGCTGTCTTAATCCATTAGGTTTTGAGACATTTTTAAATTTTTTTTACCCCACCCTGATTTTGACCTTGTGACTCGTTCTCCCCCGTGTGGCGGATGTGGTGAATGTTGTATGTGTGATTAGCGCGAGGAATACGAAGTGGTTGTAATGGCCACGGACCTGGGACACCCTCCCCTCACCTCGGAGGTACTAGTACGTCTCAGTATTGTGGACCGAGCCAACCGCCCTCCGGTGTGGGATCAGCGAGTCTATGATCCCATCACCATCCCAGAGAATAGTAGTGTTGGACAAACCGTCTACTCCATCAAGGCCAGGTTGGTAGCGGGTGGTGGAAGATGGCAGGCGGGCCTCTAGTGGGCCACTAACCTCTCCTCCAAGGCCCCCCGCCAGGCCACTCCATTGCCACCATGTAGTAACCACCGAGCTCCCACTAGTGATTACTAGCTAGTGTTGCTGTGCTGTCAGGGATTCGTTGGGCTGGGCCGGGGTAACACACCTGTACTAACACCCACGACCCCTGCAGCACTCTCTCTGCCGCTTATAGTGTATCACTCTTTTTTCATAGTTTTCAGCGCAGTTTTAACCTGTGGCAGAATTTTTCTTTTCCTTAAACATTTTTTTGTTTATGCCATTAAAGTCTCCTAAGGGTAGTCTAGAGAGTCTACAGAGACACTAACATTACTAACCCTAATGTTCGCTCTCTCCACAACTGTGCACAGCGAGAATCGTACCGGCTGACCGCCGTAGCTCAGGACCGTGGATTCCCTCCACTGTCTCGCACGGTGGACGTTCAGATTGATGTAGTGGATCGCGCCAACAACCCTCCTGTATGGACCCAGTCCATCTATGGCCCCATTTACATCAAGGAAAACTTGCCAGTAGGGGCAGGAGTTATCTCAGTGAAGGCCAGGTCTGTTGTGCTGCCCGACCAGACCCTTTGGGCCTGTCTGCCCCGCACGCGATGGTCTGCTCCAGCAGGCACCCCACACTCACTCATGCTGGCACCAGCACTGCTCTTGTCAATTATATGTGCAGTTCTAACTTGTTACACTTGTAATAACAATAATCTTTTTGGACCATTGTGCTCAAGAGGATGGTAGGTGTCAATATGAGGTACAAAGTGAGCACTGAGTGTGGTGTGCTGCTTCAGATATCCGGGCTGTTTGAAGATTTGGAGCATTTGGCACGCTGACCCGTTGCTCCCAAGCCCTGCCTCAGCAAACATGCATGTCCACCATAGCACGTAACATTTGCATGATCCTTTAGCATGATAAGCCTTGCATGATGCCAATACTCTTCCCCCCCCCAAACTTTCTCTTCAACTTGCTTAGGACTCTTCCTCCCTTTTACTAATTTTTCACTTTTATATATATATACACAATTACAAAACCCATTTTTTATAGACAATATACCTTTTTGATGTTTTTTTCTTGATTTTTTTGTATCTTTTTTTTTTTGCAACTTTACAATAGCTGTAGGTTTAGGAATGTTTTTAAGCATTTTTTTCTGTAGTCAGGAGCCTAACCTTACAGACCATCAACAGGATTTTGATGATGGTTTTGTTAATGATTTGATATTATGATTTTACAACAGAGAATGCTTTTAAACCTGCATTTTACCCGAGAACGTTGCCTGAGAACCATTTGAAATAGCTATGAATGTACAATGAGAATGTGCCCCCGGAATGTCCATAACTGTTTGTTATCCCACAAGACTGGTACAGACAGACAGCATGTTTTTTTTTCTTTTTTTTTGATGTCTTTTTTTTTTTTCTTTTTTTTTATTACTGTCTATGATTTTTGATCAATGATAGCTAGTTGTTATGTGAATGGACTGAGCTAATCTTGCATCCACACCACAATGAAGATTTTCACATGTTAGTTTGAATAACATATACAAAACTCCTTTATTATTTTTTTATGTGAGATAACTTAGGATAGCTATGGAAGTAAGCAGTCTGTTTTGTTTCCTTGTTTTAATTAATAAAAGTAATTTAGCCATAGCCCGGAGTTAGATAGCAGTGTTCTAGATGTTACTGCATTAGGCATAGGGCTTGAGGGTCTCAGTGACTTTCAAAAGTATAATGCCTCTTCTTCATCCAAGAATACATAGATGTGTTATGTTGAGTTCGGCAACATAAATGTGAATTGGACAGAGCACAGTGTTTCTTGTTGTGACAGTTTGTTTCTTTCACCGTGACTGTGCCTGCAAGTGGATACCTGTGGTGGTTGTGTTCACGTTATTATTACGTTGCTTTTTTCCTTTTTGTCATCGGATGAGATTCGGGTAGTTTATAGCACTTGCTGAGGATTTGGTCTGCAGTGTTTCATTAGGCTGGACAGAGGCTGGGCGGCCATTCCATTCACAGGAGCTATTTAGTGAAGATCGTTTTTGGCCTTCAATAGCACCATTACGGCAAAAACGTGCGAGTGGAAATAGAAGATGCACCCACCTGATCTGGCCTCACATATCAAGTAATAGGTCTCACCATCGTCGCTTTTAAATTCTCATCTTCCAAGTGTAGAAGGGGCTGTCATAGGAAACTTTTATCCCCTCTTCTGTTATTTGCCCAAGAGGACTTTCCGTGACAATTCTTGGTACTTGGATCGTTAGGATTTTGAAGCGACAAAATGTACAGCACAATTGTGGCAGAAGATCTTTTTTGCACATTCTGAATAACAGACATACACTTTAGGCTTTAGTAGTTTGCACACTGTAGTTCACTGAGAAAGGAAGTGCACTTTCATACTCCGATGCATTATAGTTGCTCTCTCGGAACTAGAATCAGTGTAGTTAATGCAGCACATTCAAGTTATAGTGTGTCAGAATAATTGCTGCATTTACAGTATCCAAGATATATAGCTTCATCTTTGCTTAAAGCATTAGTGTCAACTAGAATATTCAAGAATAGTTAAATACTTAGGCATCAAATAGGAAGTCAAGTGTTAGAATTTGATTTATCAAGAAAGGATGTTTTACAATAGATATAGGAATGAAATAGCTTAGGTTAAATGAATTAGCTTTGTGAGTGAGTAGTATACAGTCTTAATTAATGTATTATTTTTGTTTTTATTTTTGATTTTGTTAAAGATAGAAATGGGTTTTGAAAATTTTAGATGCAAAATTTTGACAAAAGAAATGTAAATATTGAAAATTCAACTAATCTGTCATACTTAATGCTGTCAGACTACAGTATTTGAGAACCTAACCTGTCACCATTGTCCTCCCACTCTGCTTCAACGATACCACCACAGCTCTGGTATAGAGGACAACCCTGTGGTTTTCTATCGTATCATCCGAGGATCAACAGCCCAAACGAACAAGCACGATACCTTCTATTTACAACAACGTCCAGACAATGGTGACACCTGGGCAGATATCAAAGTTAATCATCCCTTAGACTACGAGAGTATAAAGGAATACAATTTAACTGTGCGAGTAGAGGTAAGTTTTCCTAACTTGTGAAGTAATCTCTTTTTTTTATTCTTTCTTTCTTTTTATTGTGGTCTTTGTGCATGGAGTAGAAGTAATCTATAATAGAAGATTTGATCCCTAGCTCATTGTTGATTTTGTATAATCATTTTTAAAAAATCAGATTACAGCTTGCACAGAGGCTTTGATTAACCAGACCCATCAAAGTCATTGCTCCCCTTTTGCCACTTTTTGTAAGAAAAGAATGCAAGTTATTACCTTATCTCATTTACTAGTAAGTGTATTTATTTTTAGAACAATGGGCCACAACAACTAGCCTCAGAAGCTACCATCTATGTTGTGCTAGAAGATGTGAACGATGAGATTCCTTTGTTCACTGAACGAGAACAGGAGACTGTACTTGAAGGAGAGCCCATTGGTACCAAGGTCACTCAGGTCAATGCTATTGACAAGGATGGAACTTACCCCAACAATGAGGTGAGTGTTGCATATATTGAAGAATGGACATAGTTGCACTTAAAAGAGTACTGCTTTAGGAAAAAGATTACTGATCTGAATTAAATGGTGCTAAATGCCTCTGCTTTATTTCTCAGGTTCTCTACCGCATTGTCGATAGTCCTCGGAATGAAGGGAAGGACTTCTTTGAAATCAGGTGAGACTGAGAGGACTGAGACTTCTATACCATTTGCTTTTGCAATAGCGCATTTATAAATGTCTAGTTTAGGGTACTTAACCTTAAGTTTATCCAATTACTTTAGGGCACTTTCCCTTAACTGTATGCAATTACTTTAGGACACTTCCCCAAACTAACTGTACCCAATGACTACACCATCCCTCTTATTATAAATAATTTTGAAGGCATTTTTTTTAGACCATACAGCCCATAACCTTTTTTTTCACATATGTACATACATTTTTGATAATGTAAATGTTAATCTGTTCCTTTATTTCTCTCCTTCACACAAAACAGGGAACGAACAGGAGAGATTTTCACTCGGGTAGAGTTTGATCGAGAAGAGAAACAAGCGTATGCCCTTGAAGTAGAAGCTCGAGATGGTGCTGCATCGGCTCGACCAAATGCCAATGGACGCCCCAATACAGGTACAGTTGGCTGATTCCTTTTTCTGAAGCGTTCTTTTTTGTTTATTGTATTGTCTTGTGTATTTTTTTCTTGGATTGTTGATTGTTTGTGATTGTTGGGATATGGGTCTCAACTGGATATGACGATATAGAAAAAAAAATAGGGTGGTATACACTCTGGAAAGTTGTCAGCAGTTTGTGACAAGTTAACTGGCTTACATTTTGCAAAGTGGTCTGGTAACGGTGTATGGGAGTCCAAGTAGTTGTTATGTGATAATCTGTTTAACAATTCAGAGAATTACTCTGATCATTGTTGCACGTATTCGCTAACCTCTCCCGCAGTGTTATCAGCTACTTGAGAGAACAAATGAGATGGGTGGTCAGATACTTCTGTGGCCTTGCATATGTAGAGAATTTTGGTATTTTGATTTCATGCAATGAACCAAGTTGCTTTACTTAAGAATGAGACTGGTTGAGTATGTGTCTGTTTTTGAGTGGGAGGGTGTGTGAGTGATTGGAAGAGTTAGTGGGTATCAGTGTGCATGCGTGTGTGTGGGTGTGAGATAGACCTTGTGCCTGCGCGTGTGTGTGTGTCTGTATGTGTGCGTGTTTCTGTGCCTTTGTCTCTGTATGTGTCTGTTTGTCAGCCCGTAAGTGTTTGTGTGTCTTTATGTGTGAGAGTGGTAGTGTGTGTCGCCGTGATTCTGTATGCGAGCGTTTTCGTGTAGGTCTGTATACAGTACATAGCGAATTAATTTTTGTTTATGGTTCAGTAAACTCTCATAACAGTATGGCGCGGCTTGACTATCGTCTTTATATTAAGCTAGAAACAAACTTTCAGGATGTTTTACGGAAGTTTTCTCCAAAGAAGAATATAAAGCAGACTGGGATCAGAAAGTTTAACAAGTGAAATAGAATTTACGGTTAAAAGTACTGAATGTTTTATGCAGATGAGGGAAGGGGGTGCAAGACTGTAGCATTAACTAGTTTTCGCTTATATCCGTGGCGTCATAAAAGCTAATTCTGTTTAAACAAGTTATTTTTTTGCTTTATCATGTCGTTTACTTAATTTATTCATTGCTGCATATACTTTTTATGTTTTTTTCTCCATCGCTCTTATAGAATCCGGTCTCCACTGTGAAAGTACTCGAAACTTATGAGCAAGTTAGTTGAAAAACATTTTCGTTATATCTGAAAATAATTAGATATTTTGGGAGAGAAAAAAGAGTACACTGATAAAGTTTGCGATTAATGAACACAGCTTGTTTCCGGAGCTTTGATTGATATTTGCATATGAATAGAGAGTTCGTAATATGCGACTTGCCAGTGTGTGAACGGAATATAAAATGAGCAGGCCGAAAGAGAATATTAAATTTGTTTAGAAAAAGATGCATTTGCCCTCCAGAGCCGTGAGATTATAATTGTAGAAATCATATGGTTAAGTACTGTATATTTTCACTGGGAAGCCTGTCTTGGTTAATGAAAACTATTAGCGTGGTTCACAGAAGTTGACACACGTTATATTTTCTCCGAAGTTCCAGATTAATGTTACGAATACGACTGTAATTTACACGAATAATGGCTTTGTTAAGATTCACCAAGAAGCAAGGTTGTGTAAGATTAATCTGCCACATGCGAGATTCATGGCTGCCCGCTGACTGATGGTTGAGAAAACAAAGCGCACTTGCAAGCAGATATCCGCCATTCACGGGCATCTCCTTGACGGCTGTTCTTAAGAGCGGAACGAATGGCTTTACAAGTCATCAATTTGCCGAGGGTGGTTTATGGAAGCTGAGTTTCATGGCTGTTCTTCGTTTCGGTTGAGTTTCGGCAGATGATACAAACGTTTCTTTCGAGGCTCGGGATCTTGCGGGACGAGAGGCACAGTGGCCCGACGAGGCAGCCTTGAGTGGTGGAGGTTGGGCTGCTTGACCCCGAGATTTATGGGGAGCAGTAGGCAGGTCTTGGGACTGTCGAAGGGTGGAGCTGATTAATGGGGGATCGATGGGCGAGGCTGGGGTCCTGAGAGTGGTTCCGAGGCTTCCCCAGCGGAGTAATAGAAGGGGAGATAACACCGTTTTTAAAATATGGAGTACTTAAGAAACCTGTGCCGCTTGATTTAGTGATGCGTGGGATGGAGGAGCGGCATGCCGCAAAGTTCACGCTTAGTGGAGACATGCGCGCTAGGGAAGATAGCTGCTGAGCTCCTTTTCTTGAAAGATTATGCAGATATATGCAGATAGGGATACCTGAGAGGGGCCAAGCAGAGCGGAAACGGTGCCTCGTGATGGAGAGCGGCGGCCATCGGGAGCGCTGGGTGTAGTGTCCACTGATTAAGCACGTGATTATTTGCGATGGCCGGGCGTAATGGGGCCCGCGCCGAGTTATGGCCTCATGCATCTCGTGGCGTCTCGCTGCAGCCAACACCCGACGCACCTGGGCTCCCTGCGGCCATGCTTGCGCGCGCGAACTCACACATACGCAAACGCACGAACACATACATCCTCACACACACGCGTACACTCACATACCGCCCTCCCCCTACACACACACACACACAGACCGCGCGTAATGTTTTGGGGTAGGGAGGAGATAGGGAGAACAGCCGTGATTAGAGGAGGATGTGGAGGAGAGGTGCGGCACACAACGAAAAGAGGAGCTGGAGAAAAAAAGAGGGAAGGAAATTTTGCGTAAAAAGGGAATGGCCGTTAGCCTAAACGAAGGGAATGCAGGAAGAGGAACAAACACGGGGAATTAGCAACAAGAAGATTAATTTTTCAAGAAACCCAGGAGGAGTTCGGTGTACTTTACGAGAGGGGATGTTCTGCAGGAGATAAGATGGCCGGGAGCAGGAGCGGAGATTGGAGACCGGCGAGGCTGCGAGGGCAATATTTTTCGGGAGGCTGAGCTTGCGACTTCCAATATTCGTATTAGAGTAACCCTCTTACGGGGCATGAGCTGTTGCTTCGTGGCACTATGCGTCGTATATATATTTAATTCCTCTTTTGCTTCTTATTTTTATCTTTCTCCTTTTCCTCCTTGCTTCCTCTTCCTTCTTCTCCTCCTCCCTATCTCCTTCCTCTTTCTCCTCTTCCTCCTCTCCGTTTTCCCTCTTTCCTCTCTTTTCCGTCTTCCTCGTCTTCCCTCCTCCTTTCCCTCCCCGTCTTCCTTCTCCTCTTCTTATTCATGATCATCCTTCAGCTCCCCCTTCCTCCTGTTGTTCGCCGTCTGTTGTTCTATAATTTTCACCTTGCCTTCGTCTCTTGTTCTCCTTCATTAACCGTTATCCTGTTCTTCTCTGTGCCTCTCCTCTGACCCCCCCCCCTCGCGACGGCCGATAACGAGGCCCAGAGCTCGTGTTCCAATGGACGGCGAGTGTTTCCTTTGGCCCGCTCGAACGGCTTCGTAGCGGCGCGGTTATTTATTCGTAATTACTGCTTGCAGCTTGATCCATTGGATTAGAGCAGGGGCAGACTTGTAATTAAAGTTTTCGGTGTTCGCTTGCGGCCGCTGGCTGTAAACTCGGGATCCTTTTATGCTTTTAACTTTCGTAACCGACTCTTTATGCTGCCACGTATTTCCTTGCGTGATTCTTAAAGATATTGGAGCTATGTTACTCGGATGTCGTGCTGGAGAGAGACGGAGCACATGTGCTTTAACCACGTGTTGTACATAGCCTTGACAATAAGCCACATGTGTTTGTTCCATATTTATAATGCAAAATGTTCTTTTTACCTCCTCTTTCTGCCTTTATGCTACCGCACAACGTACCCGAGAGCCCTTCTACAACAACCTTTTCCGATAAAATCTCTCCCCAGACTTAAACACGCCCCCACGCCCTCGCGCCCGCACCACGACGCATAATCGCATCTCCTCGACCTCGTCCCCTCGCCACGCCACAGTGCTCTCCTCTGCTACACTTCGCCTCCTCGTTCATCGCCTGAAATATTGGCACTAGTTTTCGTGCTCGGTCGACCCTCGCTTCAGTCTCCGAGGTGGGGAGGGGGGGGTATCTCGCTTGATGATCACGAAAAGAATTGGATGAGGCTGAGGGGTTGTATATGCTTTTTCCCAAGGTGTTTTGTCCTTTTTGTTTTTTTCCGGTTCTCTCTCTATCTATCTATCTATCTCTCTCTCTCTCTCTCTCTCTCTCTCTCTCTCTCTCTCTCTCTCTCTCTCTCTCTCTCTCTCTCTCTCTCTCTCTCTCTCTCTCTCTCTCTCTCTCTCTCTCTCTCTCTCTCTCTCTCTCTCTCTCTCTCTCTCTCTCTCTCTCTCTCTCTCTCTCTCTCTCTCTCTCTCTCTCTCTCTCTCTCTCTCTCTCTCTCTCTCTCTCTCTCTCTCTCTCTCTCTCTCTCTCTCTCTCTCTCTCTCTCTCTCTCTCTCTCTCTCTCTCTCTCTCTCTCTCTCTCTCTCTCTCTCTCTCTCTCTCTCTCTCTCTCTCTCTCTTTCTTTCTTTCTTTCACCCTGCTCTTTCTGCTTTAGTTCTGCATTTAAATTATTTTTTTCCATTCTCACCCCTTTATTTTATAGCCTATAAACCATTTCCCTCCCACAGGTTCCCCTCCAAGCTTTTGTTATGCGGTGTGCGTTTTTTTTATGAGAAATAAGAAAAAAAAATATATATATCGTTTACTATGGACGGCAGCGCGGCCCCGGGGGTTCACCAGCGCCCTCTCAATTTTCTCTATTTTTTCTATATTTTTGAATGGTTGCAAATAGGAAGGAGAGCTTGAAAGTGAGGGGGGGGGGGTTCTGTCAACTTTGTTTTATTTCATCTATTTATTTTCGATAACTTTGCCCCGCACTTGAGGAAATCACGTGTGGATATGAAGACGTCAGGGAGTTTCCTCAGTAAACTTGCTTCCTCGGATGTTTGTTGACACGGGGAGGAGATTCCTGAGCATTTGTCCGGGAAAGCAGCGTCGAATTTCGTCCTTGGGAATGCTGTCGTTGGCGTGGCTGCAGGTTTAAGATATTCGGGAGCCTTTCCATCACTTCGGAATGCAATAGGAGTCAGCGAGGGCCACGGGCAGTTGACAAGGGCAGGGCCGGCGCGCTCAAAAGTCCGTTCGGATAGATAAGAAAAAAGAAAGAAAGAAAGAAATGCCGACATGGAAATATGATTATTTCTCGTGATGCTCCATGTTGGTTGCTTGGAACTCGCCATCTTGCTTTTTTTATTATGTTTTGCCTCGCGCTCCAGCTTTTGAGGTTAGGTGTCTCCAGGCCGCCGCCAGCTATTGATAGGCATTGTTATGTCGGCGCGACCCCGGCGGTGGCAGGCCTCGCGAAGTGGCTCTCGATTCTATTTTGTCACGTGGCGGGACAAGCTTACACGATACGTATCCAGGCCAGTCCGAGTAAGCGTCAGAGGAAGAGGCGCAGAGAGGAAAGGGAGGACAGAGGACTACGGAGGCAGGAAAGAAGACATATACCTGATATCATTCACGGGTGACATCGAAATGATCGGCCATATCCGGAAACTCGTTATTCCGGATGCTTGTCAATGACCGGAATATGGGACTCTTGGAGGCCGCGTGGAAGAGAAACGGGAATGAGGGCTTTTCTGTCCTTGCCTGCTTTAAACTCTCTCTCTCTCTCTCTCTCTCTCTCTCTCTCTCTCTCTCTCTCTCTCTCTCTCTCTCTCTCTCCTCTCTCTCTCTCTCTTCTCTCTCTCTCTCTCTCCCTCTCCCTCTTCCCTCTCCCTCTCTCTCTCCCTCTCCCTCTCCCTCTCCCTCTCTCCTCTCTCTCTCTCTCTCTCTCTCTCTCTCTCTCTCTCTCTCTCTCTCTCTCTCTCTCTCTCTCTCTCTCTCTCTCTCTCTCTCTCTCTCCTTTTTTCATTGTCTTGGTGTAAATGTCTAGTTCGGTGTTTGTGTAATTATCTGATTATTGTGTGCTTGGTTTATGCAT